CAGTCTTCCTTGCTGGGAACTTTCAGAACATAAGGCTGAAGTACGCTCCAAATCTCTCTGCAAGTTTCGTGTATGACTTTGTACACCGTGAATGTCCCAATCCTAAATTCAGCATGTTTCAGTTTGGCTGTATTTCCTTGAGCCAAGTACCTGCAAAGTTTATCACAGATGACATTAAAATAGACTAAACAGTAACAAGCAAGGCTAAAAAAACTATATAAGAAACTCACAGCAATGTGACGGCAACACGAAGGTCTGTTGGTAGTGGTGTGCGATTACTTCGCTTTTTAAGACGAGGGTGAAGGAGGTCAACCAAAAGATGAAACTGATCAGGCGACATTCGGAACAACCCAAAAAATTCTTTGTGATCAGTATCAATAAGTTCCCTGACGAGATTACAGTAGAAACCTTGGGCGTCTCTCACCCGATTTACCGGCCGAACCCACCACCGGCGATGAGTCACTCTCCTTCTTCTCCTCAGCAAGACGTATTGCAGCAGTAACAAATTGTTCCAATTTAAAAGATATAGATGCCACAGACCGGTATTTCTCAAAATATCCATTTTTCTGTTCCGATTATTATTTCGAATTAAAAACTTTTATAAGATGCTATTTACGTTTTAACATATATATATATATATATATATATATGAATATACTTACTGTGATAGCACGAAAACTTTCGTATAATAAACTCCAGCGAAGACCGTGCAGGCACGATGAACGATTCACAACGTACTTATTTACGTGATTTAAACTTGTAGCAACTGACGACGATAGCCTCTCAAAAGCAGCACAACGAATGATGTGACTTGCAGACAGATCCACGTGATACTTCTCTCTGTTCCGATTAATTGGAATTAGTTACGTTTTAACAAATATATATATAAATATACTTACTTGATAGCACGACGATCCAACACGTGTCAACACTTCTCCGTTTTCTTCTTCTTCTGATGGCCGTCGAGCGCTGCTTAAATATAGGCCAGGGCAAACCACTTGTCGTATAGTAGTAAAATCCCCAGGATAGAGGGCCTCGAAAGGCGCCAGTTCAGTCATTAACTTCGTCGATACAAGATGCCGAGCAAAAACACTTCCCCTGACAGGCCGTGACTGTGCGCAGCGTGTCCCGCCATTGACGACGTAGAACGTACGCCGTAAGAAATGGATTTGGTTCATTTCACTACTACCACTGTTACGACCCTACTACACCGGGAAAACGCTTTCTTGATCTTCTATAGTCTATGCCTGAAACGTACTGCTACTGCGTTAATACCAACTTAAAACTGCTTAAAACCTCTATGTGGAATATGTGCGGTTGTAGCACTTTGCTTACTACCACTGTTACGACCTGCTACACCGAAAAGCGCTTCCCTGAGACGTACTGCTACTGCGTTAATACCAGCTTACAACCTCTATGTAGAACAACCTTTAAGTATTGACATTACTTACTTTAAAGTTTTTAGATAACGGGGTAAGTCCTTCGTTGGGAGATTTACGATTTAGTGCGTCAAACAGATTATTCATGCGTAGATTATTGCAAAACGCAATTTTTTCTTCGCACCCATGAAGCTCTTCGCATTTTTGTGATAAATAAAACGCCAAGCCATCGGCCATGGAATTACTAAAAATCTGCAATTGAAAGAAAATAACGTTAGCAGTGACGAATAAGTATTAACAAAAAGTAGCGTTAAAAAAAATTAAGTAAATAAATGAATACTTGAGTCGCGAGTCGAACCCGCATTTTTGCAGTATTGTCAAGGTGGACGTGTCTCTTAGTTATTTTCGGGCATGCTCTAGCATTTGTCGGAAACTGACTATCGAGCTTAAGCAAAGCTTCAAAGAACTTCCATTGGATGTAGCCATCCTTTGAATTGATCTGCGAAACAGTTAATTATATAAAACTTTCAGTTTTTTAACATTTATTTTAGGTTCTTTGTAGTAATAATTCTTATCAGAATTTACTCGCAATCGTTTCTTATTATAAAGCCGGTTCCGAGAAATCTTCATTAGATGTGGCACATCAGAAAATACGAATACTTTACGTTCGCTGTCCAATGGGTGGCTAAACCATGTTTTTGTGTTTTCGATGGAGCCCATGATGCCCAATAACGACCACATCTTTTTATTCGTTGATGCACCGTCAGCAATGACCCCGTGAATTTTAGCTCCGCTCTTTTCGAGATACACAATGGCTTTTATCACTAACATGGCGAGTTGCTCCCCTTTTGCAGGATTTTTTGATGCGAAAACTGCAATAGGCTGGGTATGCTTGTCGGCAACAGGTTGGAACATGAAAACCAGACCGTGCGTCGCCTGGTCTTCGATGTCCGTCGATTGTGGCCCGTCATCGCCGAAGTCTGTTAATCCAACGTAAGTGAGATTCTTCGCGCACACTCCGATAAATCTTCTCAAATTAATCTCGTCCAAAAGAAGCACACCGTGGCGCTGCAGAAGGGTTTTATGTTCAAAATGTTTCTGAAGAAGTTTCGAGAAGTCCTTGTCGAAACCGCATTTCACGTTAATCAACGAGAAATAACTGCGGATCGTACGAACGCACGGTAGCGGGACAACATTATTCTTTCTTAAAAATTCGTAACAGCTCGGTGAGCGGATGTGCATGAACACACATAGCATGATCCACTCCTCCGTGTACCTACGACCCTTAACGTCTTTCTTTGTGGCAACTGCGATTATTTCTTTGAAAGCAGTTCTTTGAGCCACTGGAATGTTCAATTCTGAGCACTTTTCCTGTAAATCTTTATTGGACATTCTCGCTAATTCCTTTTTTTTTATCTTCTAACGATCGCAGTAGCAATTTAACTCGTGCCTTAGCTCGGTTTATCTTACGCTTTTCATTATTATATTTTTTCCGCATTGCCATCACTTTATGTTTCTCGACTGGGTTTGAAGTTCTCCGAATGCGAAGCAGCGTTTTGCGCTTATTAAACCTTACTTCCTTTTGTAACTGCAGTTTTCTTAGATAACTGCAATTATCACACCTCTTCTTTTTTTTGTGATTAGAGAACATTTTTTGTGGTGCCATTGTTCAACGGAATCTTGAAACACATGGTCAACTTGTAGATGGTGAATATCAACGGAGCCTATGCCACTGCATACTTTCATCATTTGGAATTTTTGTAATATTTTGGGCAGTAGTCTTATTTCATCCAAACTTCGAACGACATTCGCTTGTTCCGTGTCGAAGGGACGTCCGAAAACGTACATAGTAATTCAGTACTTTATCAGGTTGGAGGACTATACACTTCAGCTGTATTATTTGATGATCTTTATTATTGTCCTTGGTTATCGTTCCACCATACGTAAACAGGAGACTGTTGCCGCTTTCTTTCAATATCTTTGTTACACTCCACGATGCAGGTACCTCAGCTAAATAGTTTGGCTGGTAATAGCCCACGTTTTCACAAATACCTGTAATAACATATTAACTAACTTTTATCAACAATTACTGGACGTCGCTGAAATGAAAAACGCTCGTGTGCATGTGTTGTGTATGTGTGACTTGGACATCGAGATTCGAAACATTTTGTCAATTTTGTCATGATTATTGCCCCAACGGTCGTACATTAAGATAATAATCTGCGAATGCGATCTTATATTTGTCTATGTAATTGCGGTTTCGATTGCAAATTCAGAGATTGCACTATTGTACATACTATTGGTTATGCACCGGCGATATTAGATTGTCTCGCATATCGTTAATATCGCCCGCGTTATTACGTTTCTCGTTTATGATATATATACATATATATACCTACGTATACCGTAAATCTACAAATTGTAGTATCGAGACTATCGAGTAAATTCATAAATAATTTTTTCGGTAAAGAATGCCGACATTTGTCAAATCTTTATCATCGCAACCGCCTAAAAGTTATATTTGCTTGCGACACTTTTGCAGACAACCTGTACATCGCACTGACTAAATTAACTTAACGGTTATCTAAACAAATTGTACTTAAAGGTCTAAATAAACATCTCATACACTAAGTCATAATAATTATAGTTGCTTTGTTGTGATCATCGCGTATTTTTAAGAATTACTCGCATCCCGGGAAAAAATGGAAGAGATCTGAACAGATTTGAGCAGATCTCATCAGATCCAATCCACTCCGATCTGGTTTGATCAAAATATTGGCCCTATCTGATCAGATCCAATCAGACATGAGTAGATCTGATCCGATCCTAGAGGATAGAGTCAGATATGTAACGAGAATAATAATTTATTATATCTGCTCAGATCCAATCAGACATGAGTAGATCTGATCCGATCCGGTGTCCATCCACTGCAGAAAATTGTTGTTTTTAAATGTTATTTTTTAAATATGTCACTTTATTATAAGTAGACTCCACGATACAAAAGTTGTGCCGTTCCACGATTTACATAACTTGGCGCAACTTAGCACGACACTGGCGTGTCTGATACCGTTCTTATACCACTGTTCATCAAATTTTAAACACGAGAATCAGATTCCGTCGGATGCCATCTATCGGATACTTTGAGATGCAACATTATGATCTGATCATATATAATCTTATATGACTATATAAGTTTATATGTGATTATATTATTTTATCAGTTTAAATTATAAGGTATGTTTGCAAAATAATTTAAAAGATTTATGTTTTATATATACATATACACATTAATCTTTTATATTTACCTATTATTGATTAATTTTGCACGAATCTTTTTTAATGGAATATTTATAATAAATTTTAAATATGGTGTCAAAATTAACAATTATTATTAAATTGGCAGGACTATATTTATTATATATATGTTAATGTTTCAAAATTGAGAAAACTGTTTTTAATATAAAAATTAATTGATTTTTTGACCAAAAATTATTTAAAAGCTTCCCCTTTACAGAGTTAATATTATATTTGATATAATGTCCAACATTGGGTGTAAAAATTAATAATGGACGATTTGAGAACAAAATTTTTATAAGTTCTATACTGGCGAGATCTGCTCAGATCCGGCAAGATCGGAAGAGATCTGATTGGATCAGCAACACAACTTTGTAAGCCAAGATTGGTCTTATCTGGTGAGATCAAGACATGTCTGGCTAGGTCTGCTCAGATCCAACAAGATCTGAGGCATAATGTCTGTTCGTACTTCAGGAGATCTGAAGCAATCAGATAATGTCCGATTAGATCAGAAGAGATTCGATTGGATCTGCGATTCAATATTGAACGGCAGCAATGGTCAGATCTGGTGAGATCGGATTATAGTTCAGCATATCTGGCTGCATGTGATTAAATATGGCCATGCAGATCTAGCGAGATAAAATTGTATCCAATCAGATCTGACTTTACTTGAATTTCAGATCTCGTTGTATCTCATTTTATCAAATCAGACATGGTCAGATCTCCTCCATTTTTTCCTGGGATAATAATTCATAATTAATATATATGTCTCTTTTTTCTCCTTCTCTTCTTCTATATATATATATATATATATATATATATATATATATATATGTAATTAATAGCTCCGAGAGACATTTTATATTAGTGATATATTTACTCTCTGATAAAAATATCTCTAAAAATTTAAAACTTACAGTAAACCGTTTCGGCCAAACAGAAACTTCAACCGGTAATATAATGTGCGCCTTAAAAAATAATACATATACTCAAAGAATTTAGTTCATTCAATTGTAAACGCGATGCATTGCGTTAACACGAGAAACCATCGGTCTGCTGTTGATACACCTCTATTGTATCCGTTCCCTCCGATTAATATTTTGTCAATTACTTTCATGTATAAGTCATCTCCAATAGCAATAAATTACGTAAGTTAATAAATATATATGTATTATTACCGATGATGACGGAACTGATGAGGACGGGGTTCACAGCGACAGGATCGACGATGCTAGGTTCGGCGGCAACAAGATCATCGGCGACGCGACGGGACCGGGGCGGTGACCAACGAAAAGTCGTCACCGTCTACCATCTAAAATTAAAATTAAAATAGCAACATTGTAATTGTGTAAAATTATAAATAAAAAATATTAAAAAGACAGTACTTACACATTCCTTTTGTACTTTTGTCTTGTTTCCTTCAGCTATATTTCCTCGAAAGCAAGAAAACATTGATGGTCTGCGCAAAGTAGCGTAAACGGGACTGGGGGTGATGAGATCGGCGGCGATGAGAGCGATGATGACGTGATCCGGTGATCGGCAATGACGTGATCGACGGCGACATGATCGGCGGCGACGTTATCCAGCGTGTATATATATGTAGAGTACAGATAGAGTAGAGTCTTTAGGGCTGCGTTCAAAAACTATACTCGAGTGCACACCGCATCGCTTTATCTTTGTTACTAAAAATTGAACAAGGACAGAACGACACTGGTGTGTATTCAAATGACCTAGTTTACACCGATCTCTTGATACGCGTATCAAATAGTATATTTGAGTTGATCAGCCAATTAATCAAACTAATTTACTAGTTAAAAATAAAAAAAGATAAATACGTTTATTGACTCCTTTCAGGGTTGCAAGGCGTTTTGTAAAAACGTTCCCAACCCTTTATTCAATTCTCATCCAATACTACCCTTCTCCTCTCACTTAACCCTTTGGACCAACAGCTTAACGTTTCTTTCCAAAAGACGGGGCCCAGTTTGCTCCGCACAAGAGCCTATCTTGCACGGAGGGCGTAGCGGAAAAAACATTCCATGTTTACATGGCTCTAGTGGACTCAAACCTAGTTCTTCAGATTACGAGTCTGGCGTTCTACCACTAGACCACACTGTCGCCTTAACTAATTTACTAGTTATTTACTATTTAATACACGTATCAAGTGATCGGTGTAAACTAGGCCAGTGAAGTTTCCAAATATAGTCCTAAAGGCTTTCTACTCTATAGGGGTACTCCACGCTTTAAGGACTTTACTCGCCATCGTCGCTGGTTTCGTCACCACTGATCTCGTCACCGATCCGTCGTTGTTGATCACGTTGTCGCCGATAACGTCGTCGCTGATCACGTCGTCGCCGATTACGTTACCACCGGTCCCGTCGCCGCTGATATCGTTATCTCCGGTCTCGTGCTCGCCACTTTGTTCAAACGTTTTCTTTAGTCAAGGGTTTTTTACTGAAGGGAAATATAGCGAAAAGAAACATGCCGAAAGTACGAACGGAAAATGTAAGTACTGTCTTTTTAATATATATTTTACACAATTCAATGTTGCTATTTTTATTTTATTTTAGATAGAATTAGACAATGATGATTTTACGCTAGAATTCTTCTTAGAAGATAAATCAGCCACCGATCTCGTCGCTACCAGTCCCGTTGCCGCAATTTTCGTCGCTGCCAGTCCCGTCGCCGCTAATAGTCCCGTTGTCGCCGATCCTGGCACCGTCAATCCCGTCGTTGCGGGTCCCGTCGTCGCCGATCATGCCGCTGCTCATTTCGATGTCGAAGATAATATTAGACAAGGTAATATTTTTATTAATATTATATATATTTAATTCACGAAAAATTTGTTTTACTATATATTTTATTTTACAGTTCGAAGACCAAGAGACAGAGCCGCGGGAATACGACGACAAGAAGAAAGATTTATGCGGTTCTTGTACAGATTGTCGTCAGCTAATTATAATTAGGGTAGACGAGGCAGACAGTACAGATAAGAACGTTATACGTGGTGAGAATATAATAATACATACATATATTTATTCACTTACGTAATTTATTATTATGGATTACTTTTACTTACGTGAAAGTAATTGGCAAAATAT